CCCGAATGGTGTCCCGAATGGTGTCCCGAATGGTGTCCCGAATGGTGTCCCGAATGGTGTCCCGAATGGTTCTGGTGTTCGTCCACGTTCCACGCCAAGTGACCAGTCGTGCACACCAAACCATTGAACTCCGCAAGACCAGACATTCCTCAGGGCCCGTTGCCAGTGACGGTCGCTTCGGGCCAGAGCTGGGCAAGACGCGCAGCTCTGTCCTCAAGGAATTGAAACTTGAAGGCCACTTTTGCCTTTTATATTATATTTCTATAATGAATTGAGTCTGGCGGAAAAAAGAACTGCATCCAGAATGCAGCTGCCGAGACCCCTGTCCCGAAGTCAATGAACCAGGACATGCATGCATGGAAGTTTTAAACTGGTCGAGGCCAAACTGGACAAGACTGGCCACATATATAAGAGCGAACCTCTCCATGGCTTAGTCCAGTTGATCTCCAGTCTACCACTGGGAGTCACAGAGTCGAGACTTCTGTGGCAACCAAAATCCAGCCCACCCTTACACCCGCAGGGGCTGGTCTTCTTAGCCTTTTCACTTTCGAACCCCTCGAACCCCCATATACCTCAACTGCTTTCCGGGGGGCATCAGAACATTGGTCAATTACTCTTCGGTACTGATCAATCAGTTTGGAAATCATTTGTTCTTCTTATGCTGACGATTATGTTTTATGCTACAGGCTGGATTTTTTGCTTTAATGTGGATTTTGTTAATGCTGATGGACTGATGGTTCTTTTTATGATGGCGGTTCTAATTTTTATGCTGGATGTTGTTTCTCGGACAAGTTTTTAAAGTTGGTGTTTTTGGGTTTTGTGTGTGTTCTTTTTTTTGAGAGATTGATCTTTTTCTGCGATTTTTTTTGTGGTGTGGGTGATTTTGTTTTTTTGCGGGAGACCGCTTGCGGACGGTGCCTTTTGTGGCTGGAACTGATTCTTTGTATGCGGACGGTTCTTCTTTTTGTGTTGGCAGTTCTTTTGTATGCTGGCGGTTCTGATTTTATGCGATTTTCTTTCAATGCTGGTGATGTTGTTTTTATATGTGTTTCTTATGCTGATTTTTTGTGCGAGAGGCTGGGAGTGTTCCTCTTTACCCGTGAAACCTCGGGGTTGAGTGGCTTCTTGGTTCCTTTCTGCCCTGAATTGGCACCCCCCCATGCTACGTTGGGATGGTTCCTTCCTCAAGCCAAGGCCCATGGCGTCGCCCCAGCAAAGCTCAAGGCTGGAGACAGATTATATAGCCTGCAAGAGGGCCTAGCGGCCTAGCCAGGATGGTGCACAGCCTGTAACGAATTTGGTGCACCACTGTGAACCTTTGAAGAAAGATGCAATGCCCTTTCAAAGTGGTGCAATGCTTCGGCACTCCTTCTTGCCCAGTCCTGGGCGCGTTTTACTCGCTGGACTCCACTCACCACTTGGGCGCTCAGCCGTGCATCCCTTGAGTCCCAGCCGTGCGACGACGAACTGTTCTCCAACTCCAAGGCGTTTGGTGTTGGCTCCCCTCTTGACCTTCTTCCCGGGTCCGGCCATGCTCCGGCTCCTGGTGCTTCGACTTGTTCTGGCCTCGCGAAAGCGGGCGGAGTTGCGGATTGTGGATGGCATCCTTCCTTTGTAGCTGGCATCGATAGCATTTAACTCGCCATTGGGCGTTCTGAGCCCTCCACGGGCACGGGCACTCGATCTACCCGTGTTGCGAGGTGTGAGCTTGGACCGCGCTCCTCTTTCGGTCCACGCCCATGCAACCCCTTTGTTAGCCTGCTCTGTGCCTCCAGCTGCACGCAGACCTGAAGCTGCACAGCTGTGCTGGACATTGCTGGGTCTAACTGAAAATATTGGAGGTTGAAAGCAAATGTTTGGAAAACGTCCAACCTTTTTCAAACACTGCTGACATCCCAGGCACTAGCAGCCAGCGACGATGCCGGGGCGCTGCTTCTTTGCGGCATGGCCTATTTCAATCCTTGCAATCTTCTTGAGGGGATCACCTCTTGCTCTGTGAGTGTGAGCTTCAACACTGGCTCCATCTTCTTCTTCGCCCAGACTTTTTTCCTTTGCCACTGCCTCCTTGAGGCTCTCGCGCTTCTTCTCTTGATCAGCAAGGAGTGAACATGCCCATTGAAGAGCATGCTCAATCACCGAAAGAGAGGGAACTTGAGATGACGACTTGCGCAACAAGGGTAAGTCTGAGCCCCCCAATTTGGTTGTCGATCAAAATGGCCACCTTTTGACACATATTATGCTACGTTGGAATCTCCCCTCCCCTTGCCGATGGCTCACAAAAGGTATGCTACGTTGGAATTCCTTCCTGGTCTAAACTTTACGCTCGGATGGCTCACAAAATGTATGCTGGCATGGCTCCTTCCTCCTCTAAATGTGTTGCTCATGAAGGAGCCTTTTCAACAGTCGCATACCTATTGTGATCGTGACCCACCTGAGGGTAACATTTAGAGGATAAAGGAACCATGCCAATGTAGCATACCTTTTGTGAGCCATTCCAGCATGCGCTTTGTGAGCCATCTGAAAGGAACATTTCCACAAGGAAAGGTAGCATACCTTGTGTTACCAACCCCAGGGTAAAAGTTAGGAGAGGATACGTAATTCCAGCAAAGCATACCTCGTGTGATTGTGAGCCACCAGGGGAAAACATGTTGAGGAAGAAGGGGCCATGGAAATGTTTGAGGAGACCGGGCGTGGGTCCCTTGAGCCGCCAACCCAGGCGTTCGGTCCCTTTCGTTGCAAAGAAAAGAACACCATGGACGAATCCACCAGCGTCAACTCCTGAAAGGACCTGACTGTGAACTGACCAGGTGATGTCGCTGGTACTGCTGGTGGACCAACGACTGCGGGGGTGACATTCACCTGCACTTCGAGAGCTCCAGCTGTATTTTCGGCCTCGATCTTGTCGTGGAACTTCATCTTCACCAAGGGAATCTCAAATTCCTTGCAGTGGATGACGACCTTATCCATATCAAACCTGGCGACCTCATGGTTCGCTCGGATTGACCGAGAGGCTCGGATGTGAAGTGTAGGACGTAGTCGCACCCTGCCCGACGTGTTGGACTGGGCAGCTACAGCGTCCGGAAAGAGCTCGCCATCACCTGTGTGAATGGCGGGGAGACATCGACTGGAAGTGGTCATGGCAAGGGCACTCCAATGAAGGCAGCTGCCACTTTCTTCGCGCGAAGCCGAGCGACAAGACATGCCTAGGTATAAGTCCCAGACATGCCTAGCCACAAGTGCTCTTGAACGGCTGAGCAGTCAACTGGAATGGGAAAAAGAAAAAGATGAAGACGAGGAGGAGGAGGAGGAAGGAAAAGAAAGCTGAGGAAGGAAGAGAAAGAAAAGGAAGGAAAGGATTTCCCCCACCGCCACCACTGCCGGAGGGTGAAATCCCCTAGCATCAAGAAAAAACATGTTTGCATTTAAAAACGGCTTCGAACGGTTTCGACGCGCCGGTGGCGTCACCCTGTCACCAAAAAGAGCTGAGCGGCCCAGAGGATGGTCAAAAGCACCAGGAGGCCGATGATCACCAAGAAGTTCAGGATATCCGCCTTTGGATCAGCACCTCACAGAAGCGCCACGCGGACGCGCCACACGGACGCGACGGACGGGACGACCCTGACGACACGGAAAAAAGTGACTGGAAGGACCACACGACTCACACGACATGCGTGATCGCGAGGTGTCACATATGTTGGTGGAAGCGCGGCACGGATGGTCCCTCAATTTCTGTTTTAATCCCTTAAGGATTGAATGGACAAGAGGCTCATCTAATCTCATCTACAAAGACCTTGTTCGAAGTTCTATGTTTCACGATTCACACCGCAACTGGTTGGGCTGCCCCACCTCGTTCTCCCAAAAAGGCTTTTTACATGGACATCCCTCATTCGACGCCGGCGACGGTTTAAGTCGGACTCGCGACGGTGAAGTCTGGACGCGAAGTCTGGAGCCTGAATGCCCTGGAGGGGTTGGAGTGGGTCCGGAGTGAGTTGGACTGGGTCTGGAGGTGTTGGACGGGGGTTAAAATCCTCCATACTCCTGATATGGAGGCCCTTCGGAAGTCGGGCCTGTGAACGAAAACGGAGCAACGGGAGCGTCGAGGCGTAGGGAGAACCACCCACTGTTTAGGTCTTCGGATTTCATGTCCGGCCCATGCCTTGAAACGAATCCGAAGAGTTCGAGTGTAAACGGCAAGAGACTCGTTTTCCTCATAGTACCGGTGGAGGGCCCAAAGGCCGTCTCCCGCCTTCCACGAAGGGAAAACCATAGGTCTGCAGGAGGCTCCTCTCATGGGCGGAGACCTCCGGGCGACCCCGATCCGCGGATCACGCAGGAGGCGAGAAGCGTCGAGAAGCGGCGATGCATTACGCTTCCGCGGAGAACAAGAGTTGACCACGCAATTGACTGATCAGTGAATTGAGGAGTAGAGTATCATGGAACAAGAGACACCAAGTTGGGGGGTTGATTTGACACACCTGTGCACTGCTATTGTGGGGTGGTTGATTCGAAGACCCCAAACAAAGGGCTTTCCACGATGCCCGTGCCGCCAGTGCGAACGAACCTCGGTCGGGCTGCTTCGAAGACCGGTTCGGCGTCTCCCGAGACTGTAGCTGTTGGTCTGAGGATTTTGAGGAGAGACCAGCTGGACAAACGACAGCCCTGTCATCTGATCATCCAGGAGACCTTGATATTTCTTGATCTATGCACCGGCCCGGCAGACCTTTACATAGTATAGAGAATGTTCTGAGGAGCTTTGCACAACGAGTTCTCATACATAACACAGTGATGACACAGTAATCAACCACGATTCCGAGTCAATCAACACCCTTGGGGTCTACAACAACTGTGTTTGATTGACTCGGAATTGTGCTTTCCCCACTTCGAAGTGGTCGTGTTCTTCAAGCCCCGGACGTGCCCAGTTCACAGTTCCTTTGTGGGTGGCTGGCCTTCAAACGGACCAAATATAACTGACTAGACGACTCATTATATTCCCTGGCTCCAAATACCTTCTGAGAACGTATTTGGGGTGGGTTTTGAGGGTCCAAATACCTTCTGTGGATGTACCTGGAGCCCTAGGGATTGGCTAATGAACTCAGGAAGAAAGCTAAATAGCCCACGAACTGCTCGATGGGCTTGAGCTTAGCCTTGGTTGAGAATTCCACCCGTTGGCTTGAACAGAATAGAGGGGTCGGTTTCTACCACACGCCAATTGGCTGTATACGTGTGGGATATTGTTGGGCATCCCTCTAGTTGTTTCAACCAACCAAGATCCAAAGGCCATCTGTGATCTATATGTCCTTTGGTACCTGCGCGTACAGCGCGTACAGCAGTGGACGCTGGTTTCTTTAAGATCTGGACATTGTTTGACACAAGTTTGCCAACCACTTTGGCATATGTTCATCTTTGACCAAGTTCAAGACCCAACTGTTTTCTCAGCCGAAAAGTGTGGCTTCTCATCTTCTCACATGGAAAAAAACAAAAACAACAACCATTCCCGCACGGCACGGGCCCTGCCAGCCGCGCCGTTCCCCAGGCCAGTCCTTCGCCCTGAATGGATGTCAAATGTGCACATGAAGGGCGTACAAGGTGTACCATCCCAATGGGGGGGTGATTCATCAATCCAGATTCTGCATATGTGTTGGTATAGGGGGGGGAGTGTGTCCTATAAGAAGCTCATGAAGCGCCCTCTTGATGAAGCGCCCTGTTCTGAGAACAGATCCACACTGCCCAGTCTCTTTGGTCGCCTAGTGTCCGCCGTGGCCCGCGCCAGTACACCGTCTTAGACGCAACCGGCGTCTCGCCCGGTGTCGTGTCCAGCCTCCAACGAGGACCTGCACGGAAGCCGATGTGGGATCGGGAAGTGAACACACAGCATGGCCCAGTCTATCGATGATGTGATGTTCCGCCAACAGAACAGGAAAAACCTGGTCCCCCCAAAAGAAAAACCCGATCATGACCATGTTAGGAATCAAACCCGTGTGCGTCTGGTGACAACTCCAATGCTTGTTGCCTGGTTTCAGTACCTCACCACTGGAGTCGAAGATTTTTTCAGAGAGAGGCCGTGTTGGGCGTTTTTAGAGTGGAAGAGCAGCTGCCAATTGATGGAAGAAATCCAAACAAGACCTCGACCCCCCAATACACCAGAGGCTTAGCGCCTGTCTGTACCTTGATGTTTAACCATATACTTCTACCCATCTCTGAGTGGTGCGAGGGCTCTTCCTCTGCTGGCTACAGCATTGTCACTGAGGACGGTATTTGCCTTCAATCAGGGCCCGTGCACTTTGTCAATCATATGTAGCAGAACTGTATGTTATTTTGCAGGCAATACAGACTTCCTCCACTCGCATTTGTATTTCAACGGATTGTCGAACTATTGTGCAACAGTTTTCTTGGATGTCTGAACATTTACAAGTTCCACCGAAGTGGTCCCATCAATTCTGGTGGAAGCAGATCTTGCATCTTGTTTGTAACTAGAGGAGAACAGGTTCTGTGCCTGTTCAGCTTCGCTGGATCCCATCACACAGGGGAAAACCACCTCTCAGATGATCAGATCACGGAAGAGTATGCGGCCAGCCGCACGACTAGACAAGATATTCTTCTAAATCGACTTGCAGACTTGTTTGCAATCGACTTGCAGCTGAACATGGTGCGCCGAACGAGCCGAACTTGTTTCCTTCAGGTTCAAGTTGCTGTCTGAAACAGAGGCAGCTTTTTCTTGCTCGTATGAACAGGTGTATTGGGGATATTCCTGACCTTCCGCCTCATATTGAACCAGAACTCGAACAGGAAGATCGCTGGACACACTTGACAAAAACGGTGTCCACGATGGAACTGCAATCAGACTGCTTCAGATTTCACATGGACATCCTCTGCTCGTCTTCTCCAACCACAAGGGTAGTTGGCAAATATGGACCCCCGTGATCTTTCCACCTTTTTTGACTTTACATCTTCGTTGTGGTGCGTGCGTGAGGAGGCCTGTACAGCGTACATTGAGTGTTCTTTCCCACTCTGGAAAAGAGGCTACGTGTTACATTCGTGTGCCTCCGCAAGCTCCACTTTCCGTGACCTCAACTTTTGCTTGGGGCGTGTACTTGTCTGCATCAATAAGATCCTCCAACCAGATCAGTACAGATCAGTACAACAGATCAGTGGAATGTGTCCTGGTTCCAACCAGATACTGATCTCGGCTGACAGCAAGTCACTGCTCCACGTGCTCCAGGGTTCGATTCTCGGTGCCTTCCGGTGAAGAACCACAGATGCATTGGCCTTCGCAGCACTTTCTACATGGGAGGCTGTTTCAAACACCTTTCTACATGGGAGTTTTTCCACTTTGAGTTACAACTTTCGCGAAAATAGACGATGCAAGAGCTGCTGTTGTGACCAGTGTGTCCACAGTGACATTCTGAACCGCCCAAAGGGGCTGCGTGCGGATTCAGAATCCGGGTGATAGAATGGTCGCTCGATTCCAGTGGATGATGCTTCATAGGGAAGACTCGATGCAAAACAAACAGCACACAAACACGAGGCGTCCAACAACCATTGATTCAATAGTCTTTACCGAACAACCTTTGTTTTACTAAGGGTTTTACACTAAAGAATCAGGTCAAGAAGTTTAAAAGAGTCTTGGACCCTTGGAAGGCTAGGGCTAAGGTTCACCCTTGCTACTACAATGAACAGTATAGAGTATAGGCGAAGTGCACGTGTACATTGCCCATAGCGCTAAAATTAGATATGTAGTTGCCAGCTATCTGGGGATCAACATGTACGAATGGTCACCAACAGATTTAGTATTCTAGATTCTAGTTAAGGCCGCCCCATTCAGTAAGTGATTCTAAGTCTCACTTGATAGGCATGAAGCCTGTGGAAAGGCCGTTTGGCTCCTCAGCGGAGCAGGTCGACCCCACCCAGAGATACAGAGGCCAACTGCTTGACCCCCGGTGCTGGCCCCCTGGTGACCTCCCTCTTCACCCGCCTCGTGACCTCTGCACACAGCGACATGACCTTGGCCGCTGTGTTGGAGTCCTGCCGTGCTCAACGGGCCATGCCGCGAAGCGCGAAAGACGACGGTGGCGAAACCGAAGAAGGATGAAGAAGGTCACATCCGGTGTCATGGCTCAGCTGGCCCTTAGCTGGGAATCAAGCGCAGGAGGATGACAGTTAGGAACACTCATTATGGTTATAAAATGCATTGACTCCGTGTTTCTGGGGCTAAGTTTAACCAAAATGTACTTTGACTTTCTGCAAATCACGTCCAAACATCATGTTTCTGGATCTGACAGCTCAAACCAGACTTGTTTTTGCTTGACCAATTAATCACTTCGTTTGGACTCTCTGCAATAGCCATCGTGCGGCGCAACTCAACAACAGTTGACCAATGACACTCAAACCACCTTTAGGTTGTATTTTGTCAGAAATGTTGACATGATCAATAAACAAGAGAGCATGATGCAAATATCTGAAGATGTCGGAAATGTGTTGTGAGATTTGATGAACAATCTCATCGGAAGAACATCGCTAATTCCCAGTCAAACGCATCCTTGGGACTTCATGTCCAATTCGGAGCTGAACTGCTCGGACATCCCGTTTCTTCCTCGGACCGGAGAAGTCTTTTCCATCTTCAACCCGCCAAATCCCACACGTTGTTGGCCGTCGCGACGACGGACACCATCCCGAAACAGACTCGACGTGGGAGTCCACCACGTGACGTGCCTCCAAGCGCAAGGTGGTGACCAAACTTTGTAGCCCCTGAGTCTCGGGAGCTCGAGTCTCGGGAGCTCGATCCGGTCGCGCGAGGTCCCGGACCGGGGACCAACTCGACGACCGAAGGGACGGGGTGGGCAGGACCGACTGGGGTGGGTGGCCCGAGGGGGTGGCCTCAGCATCTGATGCTGTTTTTTTTCCCCAAACAGTGATGCGTCTAGACTTTCTCTTTATAGACCCCTCACACTGTTTGGGGTCTCTTGAGTCTTGCCGGGATAATTGAGCTGCTTCTGGAAGTGCTGTTTCTCACACCTTCTTCGCGCAGTGGGCGGACGTCTGGTCACGTGCGCGCGCTCAAAGGTGGCCCAAAAAACAGGCCAAACTTAGGCCGAAGTCTGGACCCTCCGTTCCGGAACCAGGGCCCTCAATTCCCAATGTTTTTTGACCTGTCGAGCTGTGAACGGAGCGTTTGGGTAGGAAAAGACTCGGTGAACCGAAACCAACTCCACCTGTTCTTTGTTGAGTATAGGGTGTTCCCCCGCCAAAAAAAGGTGACCTGAAGAGGTGAGGTCCACTTAGAATACCACCTCCACTTCGCTTCACACCTCCAGGAGGTTTCCTCAGAAGGTACAGTATGACTGGACCCGAACATGGCACCCACCCCAGTCCCACCTTCTCAGAAGGTACAACTGGAGGCCTAGGGTTCCAAAAACCGCCACCTTCTCCCGCGTCTGGGGTGTTTCCGAGCTGTTTCAGCGCCCCACACCTCCTGCGACGAGGACAACACGCGGCAGCTGGCCTTGAGGGATGGCCCGGGCGAAGACCGATGACCGATCCGTTGATCGCTGGAGGCCGGTGGAGGTGGAGCTCTGTGAGTTCCAGTGAGTTCCTGTTCTCCACCTGACGCTTCTGGTGACCAGCGGCCTCCAAACCTCATAGCGATGGCCTCCACCGAAAAAGTCGCTTCTTAAGTTTCTTGTTCTTGTAAAATGGGTGGAAGAACCATAAAGAGAAATATATTTTTCTACCTCCGCATCCTCTAGGGTCTCCTTCTCCGCCCCGAACAGCTCGAACCATTGCTGGCCGGTCGAGTCGGGTGCGGCCGACTGACCCAGGGTGCCGACGGCCGTCGACGTGAAGGAACGACCGATGCCGAACTGCTTGAGGAAGCGCTGCTGGAGAATCGGGTGATTGAGGAAGCGTCCCAAAAAGTGGCCTTAAGGAAAGCAATACCCATCGATCACTAAGTATAGCTATAGATCCCATGTGACCGCCCTCTTTTGATAAGAATGGATCATATTTGGGGTGGTTGGTGGTCCAAAATAGAGCTCACTCAGTTTCTAGGCCCAAACAACAACGAAGCCTCTCATGGTTACAGTATACGATGCCATGGGATGGGTTCTGCGCACAGAAACCCTCCAGTCCACCCAATCCACTACAGTGAAAAACCGAGACAGCGCTAAAACGGCGACGTCAAGAAGCCCAAAGCTGTTCCACTGCATCCTGGCGGACGCGGCGGGCAAGCCGAGTTCAGAGGGCTGACTGTCGTTCTGGTGGTGATGTCTGTCTCAGCCGCAGCCTGGATGGTCGTAGCGTCTCATCCGACCGTGTCTCTCAAAACCACGTATTTTGGGGGAAACATGTCCAGCCCACCGATTGTTTTCAACACGACACACCTTTCTCAGATGGTTTACAACTGGCCATCGTATTGGTCAGGCCGACTCATGCAGGATGATCATCGTGTCACGATCGAAGCAATTCTGTGGTACAATCGATCTTGCCATGTCTGAAAAACAAATGTGTTGGTCCATGGGTTTCCCTTTTTTGTTCTATTCTTGCCATGTTTGAACAAGAAACCCAGGCGATGTGCTACCGCTCCACAAGTCAGGCGGTCAGACGAGAGACCTCTTTTATCTTGGAATCTTGGATCATGAATCATCCATGAAATAGGGAGTCGACCATCAGTCTTTCATCTGCTTTCCTTCTGTCCCCAATCCTGAACTTATATGGCTGTGGGTCATGGTAGCCTGGCATCCTGGTTTGACCCCAGGTCACATGAACAGATTCCTCATCTCTTTGGGATGTCAACCTTGGTTTGGTGGAAGAGCTTGAGTTCCTCACAGCTAGTCTTGGAGACGAACACCATCCAACTTCCCTGCACATGATAGTCGGATGGTCCGCAACAGATGTCGATCTCCACAGTCGGACCATGGTCGCTCATTGCCCAATGCTCATTGTCACCAAGGAAAAAACAGCTGGGACCGGTGGACAGGAGAAAAGACCATAGGCATCTACAGTTGATGGGGGATTGTGCCGTCTACTCTGACAAAAGTCAGTGTTGTTTCAGGTTGCTTTGGGTTGCAGGGTGTCTAGAATGTCTGCCTCCACAAGTAGTAGTTTGCACCTGGTTCATGTGACGTACTGCCAACAAATCTCCGACCCTCCGGGTTGATGCCCTTTGGGTCTGCCCAATTTGGGTCCACCGAAGCTCTTTTGAGTGGACATTTGTTGGGTCCAACCAAGCTCTTGTCTGTTTCCACATGGCTCCGTAAGACTCCAAGAAAGGCTCAGAAGTATTTGTTTGTCATGCAAAGCTTATGCCAATTCCTGCACCAGTCAACGCTTCTGAGGCCAAGGATGGCCAAGGTCTCTTTTTTGAAGCCGAAGAAACAAAGGTCCAAGGCCCAAGGCAGTGGTTTTGGACCCTAGGGAAAGGAACAGCTGACCTTTCGACCACCCCACATGACTCTCAGCACTGTCCTGTAGCTCCATCTAGAAAACACCTGCAGCGTCGGAGAAGTTGCTTTCATGACTCCCAGTGGTTTTTCAGAATTCCCTGCTGGAAATCGTATAGTGGTTCCCAAATAGATAGTGGCACGGTTTTTCCAACACATTTGAGTGGGAATCTACTTTTCTATCTATGACAGGGGGTCTACAACATTCTCACGGGCCCCTGAGAAGCGGAACAAATGTTCAAACTTCATGACCAGTTGCTCGGCCTCGGGATCAGCTTCGGTACGACTGGACCCTCCAGTACGCTACCAGTACTGGACCCTCCTTCCTCGCCTTCGTTCGGCACGACCCTTCTGAAGTAGTAGTACTGGATCCCTAAGATGGATAGTGAAAGAAAACCAACAAGCATCAAGCCGAGCCTTCAGGATCTTGCATCACAGTCCTACTGGATACATTCAATAGGTGTTAATGTCTGTATAACCCGCCCATCACCAGAGTGGAAGATGACGGTCGTCCTTGTCAAACAATCTGATCTTTGACTGACTATTGACAAACTATGACAACCCCAATAATGTAGACTCCGCTTGATTCATTCTACAAAAAAACTGATACGCCGATCCCCCCAAAAGGGATGAGTTCAATCCATGTCCGGGAGAGGCTTTTATTCAGTCGAGGAATGACCTTCATGAGACGTAAACCATGACGTGAGATGCTTTCACCCCACGTGATTCTTGCAACGACGCCCAGTGGGAAGGGAACCGCTGGAACCGCTGGGACTCGAAAGCGAGCGAAAGAACTGGTTTGGTAGGCTCTGGAGTAGGATTAATACCCCCCAAACCAAACATGGCCGGATTGTAGGACCAAGAGTCCAGCCATGACAGAAACTGCGTATAGTGACGAGTCCTATTGGTCTGAGACCTTTCTTCGCTTCCACCGATTGACATGACATCGCCTGTGAACATATACCATCCAGCAGTCACGTTCGACGGGGTGCGATCTATGGAGGTAGGAGTTGGGTGCTATTATCCACATCCACAGCCCCTGGATGGGAGGAGCCACACCACCCCGTCGAACGTGACTCCCGGATGTTTCACCAAACGTCAGGTACCACTCGGACTCACCAAACGTCAAGTGCTGGAGTGCGACCGGGCCCGGGGTGGCGGGTTGTTTTTGCGGCCGGCCACGCGTCTTCCGAAATCGGGAAAAACATAACCCAGACGCGACCCTGGGCCCTCATATGGAGGGGTCTGGGGCCTCAATTCCCCAGGTTTTGAGGGACCAAGGGTTGTTTGGAGCGTCTGGGAAGGAACAAGAAGCTACTATTAGCGATAGTTGTGATCATCTGACTGCCTGGACCTTCCAGCAAAACGTCTGCCGTCGGGCATCATTCAAAGATCGATCTAGGTGGACATGCGGACATACGGGTTGGGGGTGCCTGAACTGGGAGTTTATGAAATGTACATACCTTAGGGCTCCAAGTACATCCACAGAAGGTATTTGGACCCTCAAAACCCACCCCAAATACATTCTCAGAAGGTACTTGGAGCCTTCGGGGTATATGATCCAGGTATAAGTTCACCTTCTCCACCCACCAAGTCATTCCATCGGAGTTCGAACTCAGGCGGCTTCCCCTCACTCGACTTCTTGACAGTCCGACGGCCCTTTTCCCCCAATTAACATGCCATTCCCTTCGGTTGGAGCCTGAAGATTCAAATGGCACCGATGGATTCAGTGCTGTTCTTTGGTTTGCATGGTTTCTCTGGTTCTTTGCGCGCTGAGTTCTCCAAAACCTTCGCAGTTCTTCAGGCTCGAGGGATTCACTGAGCAAACAGACCGGCAAAAATACAACGCAAGTGATCTGACAACCTGAACAAAGAGGTCTGAGGCAACAGAAATGCGGGTTTTGAGCAACACAACTGGATATCATGGAAACGTTCATTTGCACCTGTGCAGTGAGTGATGACATGTTGGTACATTTCTTGTAAAATCAAACAGCAACAACACCTTTGCAGGCAATGTTCCAGATATTTTTCTCCAAACACTGCTTTCATTGACCAAATTCCGTGGTGCATGTGTAGCCCAAATGCTGCGGGTGAGAGTCTTGCGACAGAGTTTGAACATGGAAAATAAAACATGTCACATGTTCAAATTTGTCCTGGTCACTGACCAAACAAGGTGCTTCCACAAAACGAAACATCAATGCTGATTCAAAATTAGCTCTTTGATCTTAATCCTTCAACCTATATAATTACAACAAACAACGATATTCCTACAACCCACAGATTTCCCAAACCCCAGACTCCGCAGACACCCAGATTGACTGGAATCCTGACACTTTGTCAAGCGCCATTGATTGAAGAAACCTCCTTATTGTCGACACACCACGTCGGCGCGTAAACTTCTGGTACCCGAAGCAAAAAAAAACGTCACGGTTCACGGAAGGACGGATTCTAGACAATCTGACTTCAGCATGTCCCGTCCCTCGAAAGAACCTGAAGCCACGTGGAAATGAGAAAGTTACCGATGTTGCAGCCAGCGCAGGGCTGGACAGACGGGGTTTTTCGGTGCCCAACGTTTCCCGCAGTCATGGTTGAACAAGTCGGTTGAGCGCAACCTATGATCTACAAGGAGGGACCTGAACTCGACTGCGTTGAGCTGGTGTGAAGTGAAACCAGGCATGCTGCTACAGCTAGTTATGTCAGTATGCACATTGCCGCAATGAGAGGCAACCTCCGCTACTCAGCAAGCTCAACCCACGAGGTTCTGACAGCCCTGCCAGTGACACCAAACCTGCCTGTGCCTTGCTAGCTGCTGCTGGATCGCCTGGACACACGCCAATCGTGAGCAGCGCCGCGCGCTGCAACAGGGAGGGCTCCCAAAGAACACACGCAGCCCGCTGATCGGAGTTGGCCCATTCCAACACACCCACCCCTCTCCACCGAGCAACACTGAGCATAAGTCACCGCCGGGCGAGCCCTGTTCGTCTAGTAACGTGGCTTCTTACAGCAGCCAAGTGATGCCAAGAGGGGAGGGAGCTCAATCCCCACACCTGGACACCGAAACTCAGTGCAGTGCTTCGGGGTGCATTTCATCTCAGAACATCCGAAAAATTCGGCAATCACGCACAAACAAAGGGTCGCATAGAACAGAGCGTGTTTCCGTTGCCTTTCTCGAAAAAGTAATAATTCCAAGAAATCAGGCCATAGACCATTGAATATTTAACCAGCATCTTTCTGAAACATTTTTTGTAGAACCAAACAGCAACAACACCTTTGCAGGCAATGTTCCAGATATTTTTCTCCAAAGATTGTTTTCATTGACCAAATTCCGTGGTGCATGTGTAGCCCAAATGCTGCAGGTGAGAGTCTTGCGACAGAGCTTCAACATGGAAAATAAAACATGTCACATGTTCAAATTTGTCCTGGTCACTGACCAAACAAGGTTTCCAAAAAACGAAACATCAATGCTGATTCAAAATTAGCTCTTTGATCTTAATCCTTCAACCTAATTACAACAAACAACGATATTCCTACAACCCACAGATTTCCCAAACCCCAGACTCCGCAGACACCCAGATTGACTGGAACCGTCCCTCGAAAGAACCTGAAGCCACGTGGAAATGAGAAAGTTGCCGATGTTGCAGCCAGCGCAGGGCTGGACAGACGGGGTTTTTCGGTGCCCAACGTTTCCCGCAGTCATGGTTGAACAAGTCGGTTGGGCGCAACCTATGAATCTACAAGGAGGGACCTGAACTCGACTGCGTTGAGCTGGTGTGAAGTGAAGCCAGGCATCCTGCTACAGCTAGTTATGTCAGTATGCACATTGCCCCAATGAGAGGCACCCTCCGCTACTCAGCACGCTCAACCCACGAGGTTCTGACAGCCCCGCCTGTAAACCTGCCTGTGCCTGATCGGAGTTGGCCCATTCCAACACACCCACCCCTCTCCACCGAGCAACACTGAGCATAAGTCACCGCCGGGCGAGCCCTGTTCGTCTAGTAACGTGGCTTCTTACAGCAGCCAAGTGATGCCAAGGGGGGAGGGAACTCAATCCCCACACCTGGACACCGAAACGCAGCGCAGTGCTTCGGGGTGCATTTCATCTTAGAACATCCGAAAAATGCGGCAATCACGCACAAACAAAGGGCGGCGTAGAATAAAGCTCCCTGCCCTTTTGGCAGTTGTCGTTCTTGAGAACGGTTTCCAAGAAATCAGGCCATAGACCAGTGAATATTTAACCAGCATCTTTCAAGAAAGGAGATATGCGAAACGCTTGGACGAGGAACATCTGTATGAAGCAGCAGGTGTTGCTTGAAAACGACACATGTTAAAGAAGAACACATGTCATATATCTTTTGGGCCATTTGGGTATGGACCCTTGCCCCAATGTCCTTCTTCTTCCAGGCACTTCAGGTCGTTGCTGGGGGGGTTCAGGCCGTTGGTTCGTCCGTGTCTTCAGGCCGTTGGGCCTGACATCATCAAAGGGGGGAGTTTGTGATCATCGCAGCATGACTCTGGGGCACTTCGTGTACAAGAAACACAGTGTATCATCATGTTGTTGCTGTTGGCGTTGCTTAAACATGTGATGAGCAGCGCACCATTTGTTTTGCGCCATGAACCACCCGATCAATCCTTCAAGTATATAACACAAACAACAATTGTTGTACTCCGTTTGACTTCAACACGCTCAGAGTCTCTTTTGTTGTAATACAAGACTAATGAAAGGGTTTCAGGATGCTTCAGGGAAATATGCAACAAGATGTTGCTTGGCTAGCTGAAACCGACGACGCGTGACCTCCACGGCGCCACGCGAGCTTTGATCGCGGCCCAGCGGCCCAGCTGTCCGTCTCTCCCAGACTCCAAGGGTCATGCCAAGGCATACAAAACCCAGACATTCCATGGGACTGGCATATTTACATACATTGACCCCTAAAACCACCCCAATGTAGGTAAATATATGCCAGTCCCATGGAGTGTTTGGAAAAGGCATTGTTCATGTTTTTTGGTGGGATGATAAACGGCACGAGGCATCAAGACATCAGGTTCTGTTTTTATGTATCACCATGTACCACCTGAAGAATCCTTGATAGGAGGGAAGAATGACCAGTTCTGCGTGTGGCGGTATCTCGTTCTTAAGCCTGGTGACTTCACCCTAGGGCTCCTGGCCTTTAAACCTAGTGGTTAGACCCCCGCAGGCAGCCACCCCAACCACCGAACCGAAACGGAGGCAGGCCGTTGGAGCCCGTTTCGGGTCAACGGCAAAATACTTCACGAGGGTCAAACCAAGCACTCACATCACCCACCAAGTAGACTGTCGATCAAGAAAACCTTGTTTGGATCCAGAGTCTTTGACAACGGTTGACATATCATCCACAGTCATTCGAGCTGCCCAGACACTCTAAACAGCCCTTGGGTGTCCCTCAAAACCATAGGGTTTTGAGGGTCCAGACCCCTCCATATGATGGTCCGACCCCTGCAGAGGTTCGGGTCCCGGGTCGCATCTGGGTGCTTCTTAGTTCCCAGTGCATACGACCATAGGATCATCCGACGGTGAAAGGATTCCGAAAGGCATGCGATCCCCAGAGTTTCCTGCCCCGCCGAGGCCCCCCGTTCCTACAGAGGTTAAGTGACCTTATAGGACCCTACAGCAAAGTACCTATAGAGTCTGTAGGGTTCTTCAACCTCTGCTGGTTCGCGTCACACCAGGTGCATCGAACGCCGCAAAACCGCCGCAACCCGCCACTCCACAGCACAAGGCTGGACACCGCTCGATGGTGGACACCCATAGGAACCGAGCTTCGACAGGTGGCCGCTGTCTGTTCTTGGCTGAAGAAGAAAATCGACCTTTTTGTCCACCTGGATCATCTGACTTGTGAGAGGTCAATTAGATCAAAAACCCATGACTGTGCGGATGATTCCTGCAAGAGACTTCTTGAATTCGCCCCTTATCCCAGATGACTCTGGGTCTAGTGTCGTGTCTCAAGTGAATCTCGCAAACACGACCTCTCCAATTCTTTTACACTTCCGGGTTTTGGGTTCGCCTCCTTCTCCCCAGGCGCTCATGGCTAGGCTCAGAATGCTGAAGTCGCTTAGCACAAGGCTTAGACACAACATGACACAACTGAGCATCGGCCAATATGATTAAACCTATAGCCTATGTCGTATCAAGTGCTTGATGGAGTGTCAAGGGAGATTTTGGCTGTTGCTCAATTGGATCCATTGATTCATGGCCTTCTTATGCATTTTGCCCTCGCACCTGTGCATGATCGGAGTACCGAGGGTACTTGGCACCCCTTCCGGTCATGCGACTTGGCCTCCTTCTGCGGCGGCTTCGGCTTCTCTTCCGGCTGGGACCTCAGCCGAAGCGGTTTGGACCCGAAAGGAAGTTGAATCAACCAACCAGCCGTATAACCAACCGAAGTAGGAATAGCCTCCAACCTAATTGCGTCCTTGCTAGTAGGAATGGCCTCCTAGTAGCTTCTATGTTACTAGCAAGGAGCTGCTCCGTTCGAGTCGCGATGCCAGGAGCCCCTATAGTAGTGTCCGATCGCTCCGTTCGTAGTAAGGCCAGGTTGTTCCGTTCGTTTCTTCTAGTTCGAAAGCTTCCTCCGACCGTTCCTAGTAGCAAGCTTGTTCGAAGCGATGGCCTCCCTAAATGGCCTGTCCTACAACATGAACATCCACGAATTCGTTGGGTTTATATCGATGGCCGACGTCCCATTACTACCAGTGATGATTCCTGGTAGTGATTTTAAATATCCATCACATCACAAATTCGTTGGCCCTTTCTCAATACAAATATTAATATGTCCTCTTTTACCGAAGCCGGAACACAACCGGCCTAGAAAGTCCCTACTAGTCCAAGCATCCCATGAAAAACCGGTCCTTTATGTCAATTGCGATCAACTCCAGATCCTCGACCTGCACCTGCACCTGGCTCTTGAAAGCAGATGACCGACCTACCTCCCTGACGGGTGGACAATCCACAAAGGCCCCGCAAAATTGACACTCCTGAACACACATGTCATCCAAACATGAAACAAGCAGAAGAACATCTGGAGGGGAGCCCCCCTTGATGGCTTTTGAAATCTCTTCCAACTGCCTCTATTTTTTTCCCTTCCTTTTCGCTCCGCTTTTTGGCGCCCCCACTGCGCTGCTTCCTCCGCGGCGTCGGGCTGCGCCGCGGCCGCCGCGGCGTCGAGGAGCGCCGCCGCGGCGAGCGCTCGCGACGCGCGGGGCCTGGCGACGGGAAGACGGACGGAGACGCTACTAGTAGCTCCTGGCCTTACTACTAGGAACAAGGACGCTATCAGGAGAAACGCTATGCTCGGTGGAGGCCATCGCTACGAACGGAATAAGAAGCTATAGTAGTAGCTAGAAGCGAACAATACATCTTCATGGGGGGGTCTATAAACCACCCGACCTGGGCCAGGGTGGTTCTGGTATATAACTGTATTTTATAACCTCCCCGCCACTGATAAGAGTCCACTAGAAGGGAGTGTTGGACATGGACTAGAACTAGACAGGTCTAAACGATCTATTGGAAAGCACAGGAGCTCGGTAGGGCAGAAGAGATCGTTTTGGCAATTTCTGGGTGTTTGGGTGGGCTATATGGTGGGCTCATCAGCTGCCCATCCACGAGAGAGGTGACGTTCGCCGACGTTCGCTCTGCGGATGGTGTTCGTGACGAAGATGTATGTCATGAACACAGGCACGTGTTCAACCGCTCCCCCAGTCTTAGGGGTACAAAAGAAACTGGAATACTCCAAAGATTGGAGGCCATCTCTGTCTTACAGGCTGATCAAGCCTGAATACAAGTATGGGAATATGGGAATTACCATCTTAGTCAACTCGAGTCAACTCTCAAGTCCATGGCCCTCTATGGTCCTCTGGTAGATGGACGGCTAGCCTTCCCTGCGCGGTCCGTGACCCCTTTCAACGCCACGGCGAGGGTCACAGCGGCCATTCGGTGCGTATGACCGATCAGGATGATCAGGATGATCTTTTTCACATCTCTTCACACCAAGGTAGGGTGCCGCTTGTCTTCAGATCTCGTTCGCCTTGCCTGACTCGTTCGCCTTGCTCTTCACCTCCTCGTCTTCTCGTCGCCATTCCTCACCTCCCGTCAAGAAATACATCCATGCAAGGCATTTGGCCTCGCACCATCACTTGACGTCGGCACTGAGGCATCTTCGAGACACCCGTAGCCAAGTTCAGCCCTCCTCCGGTCGTTGGCATCGTTGTTCCTTCGCATCGGACCGACCTTCTCCTCGACCCGTCGGCTTTGGCCGCCAGGTGCGCGCGAAACCGTGGCCCGACAGGTTCGCACCAGTTCGGACCAGGTTCTTCCGGTGAGTGAGAACCGCTCAGGAGGCGGCGTTCGCCGGACTGAGTGTGAGTGAGCGGCTTCCGGACGGAAGTGTGGGTGCCATGGCCCACATCCACCTCTGGGACTCCAATCCACCCCGACGGTGGAGTTCGCTCGAGTGGAGCCATGGGCGTTCACGTCCTCGCCGCCGTCCGTTGGCGAGCCGATTTATCCCAATTAAAAAAAGCTGTCATTCGTGCCATTGATGCATGTATGAATATTTGCATTTTGGCCCATCTGTTTCTCCTCTAAACACCCACTTACTAGACATTGCTGTAGGGCATCTGGCCAGCATCGGACCCTCCGAACTGTGAAGGCTTTCACCCTGCAGAACGCAGGGGGTTTGGGACCCGAACCCAAAAAGCTTGACCTTTGAGGATCCAGGATCCGGGAATTCATGGCACCCGCCCGACCTGGTCCCTTTCCACGTGGCCATTGGTGTTTTGGTTCCTCCCGGGGTCGTCCACCCACCTCGTCGTCTGGCACCACTGGTGCACTGGTGGACATGCTGTGTTGTGCCTAATTTGCACAGCCCTGAAAGCTAGGGTACATCAATTCCCAGATGTTTCAGGCTGCCAGATGTTCGACAGATACCTTGGAGTGGTGGGACAACGGGTCAATGCAGGCATGCCTGTAGATTAGGCCATAGCACCGTTTTCACCAAGAACACCCAGGGTCCGAGGCTTCCTCTCGGCGGAGCTTCCAAGGTCCGAACCAATTCGAAGAACACCACCTACCACAGGTCGAGGCATTCGAGTGTCTGGCCCCAACAATCCATATTATATACAGGATGATACAGGTATATAGGTATAGTACGGTAGGACATATTTAAAAATTGACCCTCAAAACAAGGAAAATCCTCCGTAATTCCGCCACTCTCCAAGTCCGGTCTTGGTGGATGAACCCAAACGGCCCACACCGACGCACCTGGAGGAGGAGCACCTCGCGACGTGCTGTGGCTCGTCCAATCCGTCGGGGCTGTGGATGTGACGTAAGGGCACTCCTACCTCCTAACCTCCATGGATCGCACCCCGTCTTGTGACGTGACGGCTGAAGTTCGGAGACTTTCCTTTGGGAGGTTGGAGTGATGTGTGTCTTTGGAAAGCAGAGAAGGCCCAGCAAGTCCTGGTGGCTCAGCAATGGCATGAGCATTCACAAAAAAAGAAAAAAAAAAAACGAGCTCCACCCATTTCCAAGTACCTCAACCAAACTGGGTCAGGGGGTGGTGTGTGTGACCTAACGGTCCTTCTGTCCTTCTCATGTCGCTCCGTCGCACGGTCTCACGAGCGACGTCCTTGAAGGGTCTCACGCGGTCAGGGTCTGCCCAGACGCGGCCCTGGGCCCTCATATGGAGGGGTCGGACCCTTATACGGAGGGGTCTGGGGTCTCAATTCCCTTGGTTTTGAGGGACCAAGGGTTGTTTGGAGCGTCTGGGTGCTTGAAAACCTCCATCGCTTCGGAGGTTGACGGGACCAAAATGGTAAATCCGGTCTCGTGAAGCGTCTCGGGCGTGCACCCAAACCACGGGCGTGCACCCCACTGGAGATCCACACAGGCGTGCAAGAAAGCCATGCTTGGCTGCTGGGACGCACGTGCCACACAACATCCTCCCTGAAAATCCTCAATCTTCATTGATGCACAGGCAAGAAAGTCAAGCTCCAGATGAGGCAGACTTTTTGGATCCAAAGAAGACTGAATTCTTTGAATCAACATGTGTTTGGACCTTTGATTTCCACAGGTTGTCTTGTCATATTGAAAAACCATTGGGGGGTTGGGACAAATGGTATTCGCAGGTGGAGGCCTTGTGCCCAACACACTTTGTCTTGTCATTTGTTTGTCTGACAAGCAGTCCCACTGTAAAGGTTACAATGACCTTATAAGCACTGCTTGCCTGTCCCGCAGGATATTTGTCTTTGGGTTTTCTGCTCAAAATCTGAGCCTTTCAGCACAGCGTGGCTAGCAGTAGAGACAGAGGAGCGAGGGAAGCTCAGCTTTGAGAAGTTCTCATAGCTCCAGTCAGCAACATCGTTCTTCGCTGAAACTTGTTACAAATCCGACTGGACGATGAGGGTTGCCTTTCTCAACATGCAAGCTCGGTGGGAAGGCTTGCAAATACAACTGGTGTATTCCATGGCATCACCTATTCCCACTAGGCCAGCGGATTAAGTATCACACACGACAACAGAGGGCCCGTGGCCACGACAACTGCAGAAGGTGCCCATTTTCGGCCCAACAGCAGCACCCCACCCAGCGCGGCCCAGCAGCACGGGCTTTTGGCATGTTCAACTGCATCCAGGTGGAACGATTCAACCGTAGCGCCCATATCCTACTCCTTGAGAGCCATACATGCCATACCGGGTGGATCCTATATTTCTTGGGCCGGATGATGATGGTTCAGTTGCAGGCCTTTTTCATCTCTAGAATGGTGATGTTCCTGTTTACCGACGCCTCTACAGGTAATACTAGGACACCCTCTGGCGCCATACATGCCAATGAAATGCTTCCCCCAACGCACATCGGTGGAATCCATTCCTCCGCCGGGCTACGATCCGGCATGGTTGGAGGACCTGGGCAATCGGATTGGAGGAAGGACGGTCGACCCGTCATCCTCCAAAAGAAGGGGTCGAGACCCTTGTTTTGCGGTGTGGGCCCCTTCAGTGATTCAAATCCCTTGTTTTTAACGACACAGATATCACTTCAAGTGCCACTCTCCAACCGCTTTGCAACTGATGGTCAACTGATGGTACGTGTGGTTCCGGGTGAAAGCTAAACCTTGAAAGCTGCATCTATCCCTAGCAGAAGATGATCTCTTGCCATATGGACCAAACAGGCCATAATGGACTTCTGCACCAGTGACCTGTCAAGCATACTATAACCATAAAACTATCTGAATTATCTGTTCCAATCTGGCGGAGAAAAAGGACACCTGGCAAGTCGTTTCACTTCGAAGAATCCGCGAGGCAGAGTTTTTGAGGTCGGAGGTGCCAGCTGAGATTCTAGGATTCTCAACATGGATCTGTTTGGTTGGCCTGGAAAACCGAAAGCCTTCAATGTCATGCTTGGACTGCCCCACATACCGCATACCACTAGTTCGTTCGACCTTTTTTTGACCACAACAGCTTGACTTCTGACAGCAATCAATTGTCGAATTAGTCTTCATGCCATCAATCAACGTCATCCAATGTCCAATTGCATGCGACACATTGACACATCTCCCTCTCTTCTCCCTCCCTCCCTCCCTCCCTCCCTCCCTCCCTCGCTCCTGTAAAATTCAGCAGCTGTTTGTTTGTCGTTGGTTTGTGCACGTCTCTGTATTGTTTCCTCTGGCAACTGTCCTTAGGCTCAAGGCCTCGATCCAAGGTGCATTGTATGGCACCGTGCAATTGTACATGAACAGTACGAGAGAGTAAATGAACTATTGTAAAAGAACTTGTCTCTTGACACCGTCCCTTGGTTTGATTCATTGTGGAATCACACCATCACTACCAACATTGTTGAAAACTGCAAAGAAGCATTGTTGTGCTTAAACAGTTCAAGGCATTGTGAGCAAGTCTGTACATCTTTCTGTCATTGTTGTCTCCAGTGTTGTTGCCCACTTCATCGTTGTGGTCGTAGGGCATTGTCATGTCTGGAGCCAAGCCGCTTGTAGGATCATTGTCCTAGCCCTCCATGGTGTCAATGGTGTTGTCCGGAGTCTCCGTGCTTTGTCGCGGACGTTTTGTCCCTTTTGCATCCTCCTCAGTCTCCGACAATTCCAAATCAATTGTCCTGTCTTGCTCCACGATGTAAGCACTGTGTTCGGGATGTCCTCGTTGATGTCGCTTTGGGATTGTCACGTGGAAGGTATCGATCTTCTTGTCGGCCTTGTAGACCCCCACGGCCAATTGCACATCAGGTGGCAATTGTGACTGGCCAAATTGGCCAAGGTGCGTCAATGCCATCCTGAAGATTGTATGGTGCGGGGAGCTCTCCGTGAGAGTCAACATTGTCTTCACGTGCATTGTGTGGCCATACAGCCAGATCCAGCCACTCTCCCAATTGTACCTGTCGAACTTGTCGATGGCATTGTACCGCAGGTGCATCACACGCATCTCGTTCATCTCTTTGCTTGTCAGCTGATAGTCAAAAGGTGCATGGATTTGTAGTACCTGCACGCTGTATCCTCTCTGAAAAGACGTGACCATCTTTTGTGACTGGTGATGGATCAAATTGTGCTCCTCAAAAGGGATTGCAATCAGCACCGTCTCCTTGTTCGACATTGTGTGTCCTTCCGATTGGTGGTAAGCAAGCCATTGAATGGCTTCCTCGCTTGTTGGGACCTTAATGTACTGCTCCCAATTTCCGGGTTTCCGGATTGAGCCCGGAAGTTTGTCGACCTTGCCCTCGTTGTTCACCATTGTCCCATATTCGGTCATTGTGACCGCCGAGAACCAGTAGGTCTCATTGTCATCAAGGGCCTCTGCCCATTGTAGGTTCTTGTAGTTCTCGGGGTGCAAGATCGTGGTCTCAATATTGTCCACGTTGAAGATTGTGGACCTCTCGTCCCACAACGAGATTGTGACTCCTGTTGGCGGCCTGCTCTGGTTGTGGTAGTCTGGGATTGTCATTTCCCCTGCCATGTCTCTCGTCAGATTGTTTTTGATGATCTCGATGAAGATTGTCACAGCTTGTGAGAAAAGCGGCGGGGCGCGGTCAAAAATGGTTGACAAATTGTCGACCAAACATGCATTGTCCTTCAGTTCAAAATGCAAATCTTCAAGCACATTGTTCTTCGGATTGTGCTCCGAAACGACGAAACGAAAGTTGAGCTCATTGTGAAACTAAAGATCTTGTAGTACATATTGTCTATGACATAGTATGCACATAGTAGCTAGAATAGTGTGCCATGGCTTGACGCGCCCATGTGTGTGTTGTACACGCATTGGTGCTGCCACGGTTGTGAAACTGTTTGTACGGCCGCTGTTCAGTTGTGGTGTTGTGGGCATTGAATGCCCGCCATGTAGAGGTGTTTGTTGAGCACCTCTGCCGAGACATACTTTGTCAGTATGTCTGCTGGGTTGTCGTGTGTGCTCATCTTATGTATTGATAGTACCCCGCTTTGTACCAGTTGTTGTATGAAGAGGTACTTCAGGTCGATGTGCTTTGCTTTCTTTGACGAGCCAATTCTTGTTGCGATGCTTTTGCCGCTTGTGCTGTCAGTGTGTATGCGAATGTTCACCTTTGTTGCTGTTGCTTCCTTGATGAAGTTTGCTATATGTAGTCCTTCTTGTGCTCCCGTGCCAATTGCGTAAAGCTCTGATTCTGCTGATGATAATGCTACTACTGCTTGTGTTCTGCTTCCAAATTGTACCACGGATCCCATCATTGTCACGATGAATCCACTTGTTGATTTTCTTGTGCGTGGGCATCCTGCCCAGTCTGCTTCGACATAGATGTTGAGGTCCATGGGTTCCTTTGTTTGTGGTGTGTGTGTTGTCCTCAGGATCATCTTGTAATGTTGTGTTCCCCTGAGGTATCGTAGAAGGTGCTTCACCTTGCGTAGACTTTGTTGTGTTGGTTGTTGTAGGTCTCGTGCCAGTTCTTTTGTCGCAAAGCTGATGTCTGGTCTGGTGTAGGTTAGCCATTGTAGTTTTCCTACTGCTCTCCTATAGTCTGCATGTTCTTGTGCATCTAAAGGTGCATCATCGTTTGTGGATTGTTTCAGGGTTGCCGTCCCTGGAGCTGATGCTGGATTGCTTGCTTCCATCTTTGTTTCCTTCAGCAATGTTGTGATGTATTCTGGTTTGAGACTTACCTCGAAGAGGTCTCCATTGTTGTGAATGTCTCTGCCAAGGAATTGGATTGTCTGACCAACTCCCAATGTGCCAGTTGGTCGTAGTAGTACATGCTTTTGTACTTCTTTGAAAGTCTTGTCGACTTCCTGCTGTTGTCCCAGGAAGAGTAGGTCATCCACATAGACCATCACAAATATTGTCTGTTCATTGTTCCTGTACACGTTGGGTTCACTTGTCAGTCGAGTCAGTCCCATTTGTTGCAGGACTTGTGCAAAGTGATCTTGCCAAGATTTTGGACTTGATCGTAGTCCATAGATTGCTTTGTTGAGCTTCCACACTGTGGTTGTGTTGTGACCACTTGGGTATAGTTCTGATGGTGGCCACATGTAAAGATTGTCAGTCGCTGCTGGTGCGTGTAGGAATGCTGTTGACACATCTCCTGCTTGTATTGTCCAGTGGTTGTGCTGTGCCATTGTTAGTAGGATACGTAAGATCCCAAAGATTGGCGTGCTCGCATAGATAGATGTTGTCAAGGTCTTGGTTTGTTTCCAAGAAACCTTTTGCTACTATGCGACATCGCACTTCATCTTGTTTGGGTTTGTTGACCCACTTGGACTCGATGATCTTGTTCTTATGTTCTTCTGGGACATCATTGTAGTGCATCTCTGTGAACACTCCTTGTGTTTTCATCGATTGTGCTTCTTTCTTCATTCCTTGTTGTACTTTCAGTGGATCAAGACCTTCATTGTCGTAGACAAAGGGTTCTTGTAGCATCCTTTCCACTTCTGCTTCTTGTTCATCTTCGCAGGATGCTGTGGTGATCTTGTCACCTTTCCTTGTGGTGATTGTCACTGCTTGTATTCTCATCTTTGCTTTTGGTTGTTCTTCATCTTGTCCTCTGTTTGCTGCTGTTGAGGACTGTGCTGTCCTTGATTGTTTGGATTGCGCTTCACCTGTCGGCTCCTCGTGTTGTCGCTTGCTTGCTGGTGGTAATGGCAGTGGTGGTCTGGCCATTGTTGTTGGTGAAGTAGCCAATGGTGATGTTGCCATTGTAGTATCCATTGGCTGATGATGCATTGCTTGTGTTGGCAGTGCCAGTGGTGTCTCTTGTACTGTCTGTGTGCTTGTATCTTCCATTGTAGTGTCAGCCTGTGTGCCAATTGCTTGTCTGTTTGTAGTGTTGTCAGCTGGTAGAAGCAATTGTGTTGGAACTGCCATTGGTGTTGTTGGCAAGTTCCATGGATACACGTTGATGGTATCCAATAGTTGCTTGCCGTACTTGTCTGGCATAATCTGTCTTCGAATTGTTCTCGCTTTGATGACCTTGCCAGGGATGCCGACTATTGATTCTCCAGTCATTGTATCCCTGCCAAGCCAGATTCCTTTGAAGAATCTTGGCTCCATCTTGGGTTGTGCTTTTGTTGTTGGCATCATGTATTGTACTGTTTCTGCCATCTCGCATAGTGGTGCTTTGTGGTCCTTCTGCCATCGTCTTTGGTAACTTGTTTGTCCATCATTGTGCATGGCATACCTGTTCAGTAGCCAGGCTGCATGCCGTACAATCCACGGCATGACCGGTTGTTGTACGCTCAGTGTGAGGTTGTAACTTGTGGTCACTTGTTGTACCAATGCTCGGACTTGTCCCATCAAGGTGCGATGGAATCGTTCAATGCTTCCTTGTGATTGTCACGAGTATGCCGGTGATTGTTGGATATTGACGTTGTTTCCGAGCTTTTGTGCGACTGTCTTCAGCAGATTCTGTATGTATTCTTCTTGGTCTGATTGTAGTGTTGTGGTGGATAGTGTTGCTTGTGCTCGTCCACATTCAAACATGAATGTTTGTAGACATCGTGTCAGGTATTGTTGTTGTTGGTTCTTGTCTTGTACAAGAACTGCCATTGCCATACCTGATTCGACATCTATTGCCGTGAGTACTGGCAGTACTTGTTTGTCTCCAAATGCTTTCATGTAGGTGAAGTCCACTTGTATCACTGGTTGTTTGCTTGCTTGTTTTGGGTGATTGTCTGTTCTTCCTTTGCTCTTGACACATATTGTGCACCATGAGCGGTGTGGTAAATGTGTCAACTCATGTTCTAGTCTTTCTTGTCTTGTTGGTTGTTGTGGCGCCTTCATCCCTTTGGCGCGTTGTGCTTGTTGAGATTCATCTTCATTGTCCGTGTCGTACTCGAACTTGTACGTCGCTTCTTCCTCGAAGTTTGTTGATCCTGTCCATTGTCTGTCAAGCTGTCTTGCTCCTGATTCCTGCCAATTGTCATGGATTGTGTATCCTCTACCTTGTTCCGTCCTGTTCACGAATGTTGTCCGTATTGGTTTGAGTCGTCCAATGTCTGGTCCATCATCTGTCTGTTGTGGTACGTACATTGTTGTCCGTGCTTGTACGTGAACTCGTTTCCAATAATGTCCTTCTCTGATCCAATAGTCTGTTGTTGGTGTCATTGCTGATGGATCAGGTACTGCCGTGGTCATTGGTGCTGGCTTCTTCGTTGTGTGTCTGTATAGTGGCTCTCTGCTTGCCTGTGGTGTTGTCCCGTCTCTGTCCGGGACTCGCAGTGTTGTGGATTGATGTCGTGCCTGTATTGCTTGTGATGCCTTCTCTGTCTTCTCTGTTGTCTTCGTTGTTGTAGGTGCTGGTTGTGCTGGCGGCTTGTTCACTCTGAACCATGTTTCTCCTGTCCATGTATCTCCTTGTATCACTCTTCGTTGTTCGTGTTTGTTCAAGTCATGGTATTGTTCAGCAATGTCTTCATTGTTCCCGTTGGTTCGCCGAATGATTGTTCGTCTGTAGTTGCTCAATGTCTCCAGTGGTACTGGGCAATTGTCGCGAGGAACAAAGAGAGCTTTCCTCTTGTTCCGGTGACACCGTACAAGGTATCCTTCATTGTTGTAGTTCCAGTAGTTGCTATTGCCTCCAAGGACTTGTTGTGGTCCGTGTCTTGTCAGTGTTGTTGGGGCAATCATTGCAATCATGCCCTTTTGTGTTTGTCTCAGCTGTAGTTGTTGATGTTGTCCCAGGTTCATGACTGTTCTGGCAAGTAGTAGAGATTGTGCTGTTGCACTAAGGGAACATTGAATCCCTTGTCATGGCGCATTGTTGGAGTGTCATTGAACCTGATGTCAAAGCCTTGTTCTGCCAGTCTTGTCACTGACAGGATTGGGTCATGGATGTCACACACATAGAATGGTATGACAATCGGTTGTCCTCTTGACTGCATGTAAACCCATCTGACGCCATAGCATTGTATTGTCTTGTTTGTCACTGTCCTGAGGTTTGGGCTTTGTGCTTGGTCAATCTTGTACACTGGATAGTTGTCTGCAAACCACAGTGGACAGACACGTGTGGCTGCTCCACTGTCGATCATGATGTGCATAGTGTCTGTTGTGCCGCTGCTTGTGGTGCCTGCCTTGTAGTCATTGCCATCGTTGATCATGGCGATGACATGGATTGGTGTCAAGTCATTGTCGCCATTGGGTGGAATTGGTGTTAGTGCCAATGGCTGTTGTCCTGGTTGTGGTCTCATGTAGTCCTGACAGTACCATCCATTGTCATAGTAGTCATCGTACCATTGTGCTGTCGCATCCTCAATGTCGTTGCTTTCTCCTTGTCCAATGTTGTGTATTGCCACTCGGCAAACTTTGGCAAAATGTCCTGTTCTTCCACATCTGTAACATGTATCTGTTGCTTGTTTTCCTTTGTTCTTTCCTTTTCCTTTGTTGCATCCTTTGCTGAATCCTTTGCTTCCTTTGTTTCCTCTTCCGAATGGATTGCCAAAGCCGATCGGACTGTTGTTGTAGTTGTTGAATCCTTTTCCTCCATACTTTCCTTTTCCTTTGTGGCTGTTGTTGTAACTGTTGTATCCGTAGCCGTTGTATCCTCCGTAGCCTTTGCCTTTGTTCTTTCCTTTTCCTTTGCCTTTTCCTTTGTGGCTGTTGTATTTACCTTTTCCTTTATGGATTGCATCAATGTCCATGGGTGCTTGTCCTCCACCAAAGCTTGTTGCTACACTGGATGATTGTGATCGTACTTGTTGCAGTTTGCTGAATGCTGTTGTTGATCTGTAGTACTCGATGATTGTTTGTTTGACTCGTGCATAGTTTGGGCTTTGTCCTGAAAGCAGTTGTAGGTGTTGTTGTAGTGGTCCACTTGTCTCGTTGAGCAATACAGCAATCTTCACTGAATCTGGGAGTGTTTGTCCGTTGTCTCGCTTGAATCGTTGTAGCTCAAAATCCCATGTGGAAAATGATTCTTCGAAGTTGTTCTTGTCGAATGTTGGCTTCAACAATCTTGTCAAGTGTCCTATGGATCTTGTCCCCAATGGGATGGAGAAGCGGATGCACAGTTGTCGGTACATCTCGAAGCCAATTGTGTGTTGGTATTGTCTGCATACTGTAGCTGCTGCTCCAGTTGTTGTGTTGATGAGGATGTACCTCAAATCAGTGCTGAGGCGAACATGTCGTTCACCATCCTCGATTGTTGTTGCCGCTGCTCGTAGTTGTACCTCTGTTAGTTCTGCTGTGCCTCGTTCTGCTGCTTGTAGTAGTTCTGTGCAATCATTGTCTTGCAATCCCATGTATGCTGTGAATTTGTACTTCCATTCCTCGAACGTGCCATAGTCTCCATTGAAGAAGGGTGGTTTGTGTTTGTATCTGTTCATGTTTACTATGTTGGCCGTTGTCTCATCTTCTGGAACTGGAGGAAGTCCATCTCCAGCTTGAGCTGCTGCTGGTTGTGCTGCCATTGTTGCAGCTGTGCAAGCTACCTGTTGTAGGGTCAAGGCTTGCTCTCCGTTGTGTGTGTTTGTTGGCTTGTGCCTGTTGTTGTATTGGAGCTCACCTGGATTGTTGTTACCAGGATCCTTGCTCCGCTACCATGTAAAATTCAGCAGCTGTTTGTTTGTCGTTTGTTTGTGCACGTCTCTGTATTGTTTCCTCTGGCAACTGTCCTTAGGCTCAAGGCCTCGATCCAAGGTGCATTGTATGGCACCGTGCAATTGTACATGAACAGTACGAGAGAGTAAATGAACTATTGTAAAAGAACTTGTCTCTTGACAGCTCCCTCGCTCCCTCGCTCCCTCCCCCCTCCCTCCCTCGCGCTCTCTCTCTCTCTCTCTCTCTCTCCCTCTCATGATCTTCTGACTTTTGTTTCTTTTTGTCCAACCTTCCAAGGACCACAAACATCTCGACGACGAAAGCTCGCCACAAGACACCCCACATGTGGCTACCATTGTTCTTGATGCTCGCATCGAATCCAAATCCACAGGTCTTCCGCACCACTCGAATTCGATCCGCGGCTCGGCGTCCCAGCGATGCACAATGGGCTCCGGCTCGCGCGGCGGCAAGTCCGCTAAGCCTGGGCCTAGGCGTCGACCCCGGACCGCGGACGTTTCGCCGTTCAAGCTTGGCAAACATGGCCCTGGATTAAGGAACCGAGAACACACTAAAACATACTAAAAACAGATTCATTAGAAGGGGATATGATATATACCCATAGATACCCATAGGGGAAAATGGACAAAGATCACCTTGAGCAAAACCAGGAAATGCATGCCAACACCAGCCCCCCCTTTCCGAGTGCCCTGCCAGAAGGACGCCCACCGCCGTGTCCCAGACCACCGCCATGGCCGCCACCCGAGAAGAAGTCGTCGCCGCCCTTGCCTCGCCCATGGCGACCTGGCTACCCCAGGCACTAGACTCCTGTGCTGGTTTAGCGTAGTTGCTCGCGTAGTTGCTGGTTTTGCCGAGGCATCCGCGCGGTAAAAACGGCTAAAATCAAAAAATATATTTGTTTTGACTCCATGGGACTGCCATATATGCCTACATTGACCCCCCTGCCTGGCACCACCCCAATTGATCGGCATATATAGCAGTCCCATGGAGTGTCTGGGTATAGATGCCCTTTGTTCCGTTCGTTGCAATGGCCTCCAACCTACTTGTGATGGCCTCCACCTAATACCTTCCTTGCTCCTAGTAGTAGTGGCCTCCACCTAGAAGCTTCTAGTTCCTAAGGACTAATGGCCTCCCCTTAAGAGCAATGGCCTCCCCTGGCGGGTTCGAACGTCCAAGGGGAGACCCTTGGAGCCATTCCGGGACCGGGAAAGGGCTGGGTAAGAGCTAATGACAGCTGAATCAAATGAGCCACGGTCAAGACGCACAATATGGATCATGGACATCCCATAGTAGGAATCCTGACCATTGGCGACTAACCATGAGTATCGAGCATGGTATGAGTCAAACGATGATTACTACTATTCAGGGTGGCTCCAAACAGTTGTCATTGGCCCCTCACAATTTGAACCCCTCCATATGAGGGTCCATGAGTGTCTGAGCACGAATCCAATCAAGCTTCACCCTCTATAGCTACCGGATGGTCGGCTTTCTGTCGTTTGGATTGGCGCTGGGAGGCGTCGTGCCCGTCCGTGGTGGATGCCACAATCTTGAGTACCCCCCACATCTGCTCGAACTGGTTGGGATCCTGGTCCTCGATGTCCATGATGGAGACGGGAAAGCAAGCCTGCTAGCTGAAGCAAGATCGGGCACTGATCGCCTCTGGCCGGAACTGGGAGGTCTACCGTTTTTTAATCGGCCAAACACTCCCTGCCGCGATGAACCCAACACATGGCAGGTGGACGCATGGGTGGCGGCGCTGGCCCTGCCCTCCTCGGCGGAAGTGACAAAATACAAAAACATACCACAGATTGGATGGCCTCCACCCTACTGAGCCCACCTAGAAGATTGGGAACCATAAAACCTTTTAAACCCACAGTTTGTTGAGACTCCACATTGGTTAAAGTAGACCCCGCTAGATTATACCCATCTTAGGCATGTCAATCAAATGATAAGGCCCCTGCACGTCCTGGCGGTGACACTTGGCCAAGCGCTGTGCCAATGGGTTTGAAGTGGGTCGTGATGTTTGTTGCGAGCATGGGGGGAGGACACGGTGAATGGAAGAACGGGTGGTAAATAACATCAACCATGGAAACTGAGCCCTCAGATGGGTAGTGGACGAAACGCAAACAGAACCAAATGTCAAAGCAGGGTTGGATTTTACTAAAACATTTTAAGAAACAATGTTGCCCAGTACGTTTGGCTCCCTACACTTGCAATACAGAATTGCGCGCAGATTTCCGAAGGAAAGGACAAAAAAAGTAACCAATTTGTCCCTCCGAAGATGCAAATCTGGAACCCCCCCACTGTCATCTGCACCCATTGGCTCGATATGTCCACACAACCCCGGTGGCGAGGCCGATGCATTTGCACTGGGGTATAGCAACCTCCGCTTTCCTGAAATCGCTCGATCGATCCTATGTGGCCACCTCCCAGTGGACTGCGGGCTTACGGACCGCTGCAGACCCGAGGGGCTTTCACGCACCTTCAAAGCTACGCAGGTCACGTAGCAGTGGCAGACCTTTCTCGCCCGACCCGTCTCTCGTTTCGGCGGCTCCTCAGCATCTCTTCGACTTGAGGTGTCACCTCCTGGTTGGTCCGTCGCATCACCTGCCAGGCGTTCAGAGCGTCGGAGGTCAGTTGAGATGTTGAGGAGTGATTGCTAAGATGTCCTATAATAGGTGACCCAGCCGAAGTTGTGATACATTGAGATCCTACTGGCCTTCGTGGCCTCGCGCAGCCCACTTTCGGTGCTGAACAACCAGCAACGTTCAGCACGACCTGCGGCTCTCCTCTGCCAACGTTTGGTCGCCGCACTCCTTGGGGGTGTCACGTCTGCTCGGCGTTGCGGAGTCCTTGCGTCTTTGGAGTCGTCAGATCCTGGTAGCCGAATGTCGTGCAATGCAAAAAGGCAAGCAACCAACCCAAGAATAGCTTAGGATGCATATGATGCATCAACCGACATGAGGTTCGGTTTATTTGTAGACATGTCTTGGACCTAAAGCCATCTCTCTGAAAGAAGCTCCAGATCAAGACCCAAGGATACAAAAGAGACTCTTGAAGCCATAGCCTACAGTTTCTGGTGAGGTCAATGTGCTTGGGTTGCAACCTTCTATCGAGTAGCAACTGGAGGGGTCCACAGTTGTTGGTGATGTTTTTCATGCAGATCTAGGCAAAGTTCGGTTCCGCTTCAGGAATAGGACACCATGGACCATGGATCATCAAAACTGGATTGAGCAATTTGGAACACGCGTTGTCATGTTATGTCATGTTCATTCACGAAAAAGGATGTTCCAAAGTGGTGCGCGAAAAGGATGTTCCGTCAGGCTGTCGGACCGCCCATGAAAAACACCTCTTGGGGCAACGTCGGATGTTGCTTGTGACGGACCTGCGCCGCTCTTGAGACATCCTAGTAGCGTCCTTGCTAGTAGTAATAAGGGCATCGCTACTAGTAACTAAGGGCATTACTACTAGTAGCAAAGAGCTACTAGTGGGGTCCTTGTTCCAAGTAGTAATACCCTTGTTCCTAGTAGCGTCCTGGCTCCTAGTAGTAATGCCAGGAGCTACGTTCGTGGCGTCCGAACGCACCGTTCGAGTCGCGTTTTTCCCCCAAATGCTCCGTTCTTTCGTCGCGGAGCGTCCAGATGATGCCCGTGCAGTCGTCCAGTTCAAGCTGTTTCCAACGACAAAATGGGCTTTTCAGGTACCCCACATCACTTCGACATAGCTTTCGTCATGGCATCTGCCATGGGACCGGTCGAGTCTCCCGACGTCGCCATGAACGTGCGAAGCGTCGTGCTTCTCTGGCGAACGAAGAAGATCTACCCAGTTCGGCTTCGTCGGACCCTCAGTGAGCTAGGGGGTTTTGACCCAAAGGCTTATAGTTCGCAGTGCCCAACGTTCAACAGTGTCCAGCTCTCGCGCGTCCAACGCTCCAACAAAAAGAGTCCCTTTGGAAGAGTTCTGCACCGTTCGAACGGAGGATCTTCGACCCTGCATGACCTTAGGACTCTCGACGGTTTATCTCTGTAGACCCCAACAAGTGCCAGTGCAGCACCACTGAAAAGGGGTTGTTGCAGGGATCCAGTCGTACCTTCTCAGAAGGTGATTGGAGACACTGTTCAAAGGAAGTTTAGTGTGCAAAACTTCCGTGTTGCGGACATTCAACAGCTGTTCAACCACCACTCCTCACACCACTCATCAGATTTCGTGGCAGGTGCAGCAATTTGTGAACCTCCATGTGCAGATTTCGTGGCAGGTGCAATACACAATGCGTTTTCGAGAGATAGCGGACGCACGAAATGCTGTATTTTTCAATAGAACCGGTGGCTTCGAACCTGGCAAGTCTAGCTCTGCGGAACGACGGTTGCGAGACGGTCTCGGGTCATGGTCGGTCGTCCGTCCATTGTGGTTAGGTTTTCACTTGTCTCTTGAAGTGCAGATTTCGTGGCAGGCGCAGCACTTTGTGAACCTGCATGTGCAGATTTCGTGGCAAGTGCAGCACTTTGTGAACTTCGAGGTGCAGATGTCGCGGCACGCACAGCACTTTGTGAACCCTCATGTGCAGATTTCGTGGCAG